CAAGGTCAGGACAAAAGATGAAGGGCCAAGACCAACATTTAATTTTGTTCAATTTAATTTACATTAAATTTTAGCTAAAGTTAAATTAACCAAATATAGTTAAAAGAATTATTCCCAGGTATACAATATTTTTTAAATTCTGTCACATTAAAAGTTATAATTTAGTGGAAACATTTTGAGGAGCTGTGTGCAAGGCTTTGTGCAGAAGAGTGTATGTGGTTCTGGGACCTTGGATGGTCAACTCCCTCGTACAGGGGTGTCTTGGGGAGAGGTGTCAAAAAAGTTAAGTTGATGGCTGCGATAGCACAATCAAAGCATCTAGAGCTTCAATTGCAAGGTTGAGGTTGCCATTATGACTGTTTTGCCCCCCACCCAAAAGAGATACCATTATCATTAGATGGATAAAAGAGTTGAAATAAATACAAAGTCAATGGCTTGTGATTCGAACCATGTTATCTATCTATCTATCTATCTATCTATCTATCTATCTATCTATCTATCTATCTATCATCCATCCCTTTTAAACTTTAACGTAGCATGTAGAAGATATAAATTTGAAAAATTATAAATAAAACATGTAGTTTCTTACCAGAAAGCCACTGAAGATACCAAGGTCTCTTTTCTACTGATAAATAAACTCCCAAAAAGTAAGCAGGAATTCCAGAGAGTGCAATTCCAATTCCAATAATAGAATTGATTGTATCACTGTAGAGAGGCACTATAACTAGGAAAATGGTGCATATGCAATATACAATGGGAAAGAACAGACTGAGCTGAAAGTACAAAAGATGATTCCAAGTTAAATAAGTGCTTCTGAAAAATGCTCCTATACCATAACTTCCACAATTTCAAGTAAGCTTTTATATAGCTGTGTTTCATATCCCAAAAGAAAATAATTATACCTATGGCAAAGAATATTTCTTAGTGCATGATCTGAAATTCTCAGCAACAGCAACAACAACCTGATCTTCACTTTAACCCTAAATCCTGAATCTGATAAAGGTAGATATCAGAAGTATTTATTTTGCTTGCTCCTCAAATTAAGGGGCTTTTAACTGGGTTACCACATCAGGACTGCAAAATGCTAGCTCTTTGTTGCCATCTAGTGAATGTCTGCATTTTTTGCAGCCCGGATCTGGTAGCCCTAGTTTTTAAGCAGAAAGTCTGTGGTTTCATAAATAGAATTGTCTACAGAGTCTTAATACAAAAGCTAGAACTATATACATGGGCAGAAAAAATAAGCTTTAATTCTCTTATGTACTTACTTTAATGGGCCTTGGCCTATCTGGCTGGATATACCTTAAATATACTAATCCTGCAATGGATAGTCCAACAAAGAACCAATAGCTGAAACAGTAGTAATTTATCAGGAGAAAGACATCTTCCACAAGGAGGTAAATCAAAGTCATTAAACCCTACCAGGAGATAAAAGAGAGAGAATGAAGTGTAAAGATAGGGGGGAAATAAATGTATGCTCTAAATCAGTGTTTTTCAAACTTGGCAACTTTAAGATGTGTGGACTTCAACTCCCAGAATTCCCCAGCCTGCTCTAAATGATGCTTAATCATTGATTTGTCTCAGCTGATGCCCCCTGATGGGACAGGATTACAGTTTCCCGGATCTAGTTTCCACTGCTAACAGCTTTAACCAGATGAACCTCTTCAAGCTGCCCTTGAACTTCAAATTGAGGGGGAACAATGTGGCCCCAATCCCCAGCCAGCTGCTACAGAGCTACATTTGGGAAGTTTCATCATGTTGTTGTTGCTGCCAGTGGTGTTATTATTCTTATTTCTGGTAAAAGAGCCTGAGAATCATTTGACTGGAAGCCCTATACATTACCTCAGAGACATGCCACTAAATCCAGTCAGCCTTCAAAACAGACACGAACTAGATACTGCTGTCACTGCCTGAACAATGCCTATATATTCGGTTTGCTAAAATAGAAATGATTTGCTTGCCTCAGTTCACATGAAATAAATGTATAATGAATATAGGTTTCAGAATAAGAGAGCTTTGTTCTCTTACGTTTTGTTGTTACTTACATTAAAAACAAGAGCAGGAACAGGGGTAAAACATTTTATATGAAGTAAGCTCAGACTATCAGGGAGATGTCCTTCTCTGGCTCCAACATAAAATAGTCTATCAAAAGTGAAAAAGTATTTATTAGCATACAGTCCTGCTACATTCAAAATAATATTGATGTCAATCATAACATAACATAGATGATTCCCCCCGCCTTCCTTCTCCATTACTAAAATTAACAATTTTATTTTGCTCTTCTCCAGGGAATTCAGGGTAGGACATCTTCACATTATTTTTGTGAAGTTAATTAGGCTGAGTAAAAATGATCGTCCCAAAGTTACCTAGAAAACTTGATTGACTGGAGTTTTGAAACTGGGTCTTCATGGACTTAGTTCAACATTTTATCCCCTGCTGCATTGCTTGTGGTGAAATGCTAAGGCACGCAGTCCCCATAACACCCATAGGGAACTGTCCCTTGCAATTCCATTATGGAGTCAATCATGTGGAAATGTTTGTTAAAGTTATGTATACATTACCAACAATGTATATTTTCTGAATTAATTTTGTAGACAAAGGCACACAGTGCAGGATAAAATATTCTCTGTGCAAATAAAATATGGAATTGCCATTATAAAAACTAATATGTTAGAACTTTTTTGGGAAGCTGGCATGGAGTGCCACTGCTAAAAAAAAAATCTCTGTCTCATAACAACCTACTGAATCTCAAGATAAAGGTCTCAAGACCTCTATCTTATAGGCAAGATAGATATATGTAGAAGAATTAGCTCCTTCAGGAAACATTGCTCTTAAGCATTTAAGATAAAATTCATACTTAGAATTGGGCATGGAAATAGCCTGACAACCAGCGCAGGTGGAAGAATGCTATCACACACTATTAATAGTCAATATCACTCACAAGAAATGGTACCATTTTTTAAATATGATATGAAAAGTACGTACTGTACTATGCAAGAATGTTTCAGCCATATATTGCATTAGCAATGCAAAATATAAATGGTCTTTTCTCTCCTTCTGGTTTGGGATGTCTTTAAAATATTAAAATAAATAGCAGTGAGAAAGGAACTGTTATTGTTATTGTGCACAGACTGATATGCCTAGTGTCAATGGAATTCTGCCCAGCAATGGATTTTTTTGAGGTGGACTACTAAAATCAGACCACTGGGTGGCAATATATCTTCTCATATTTTCCAGTCTAGATGTTTCCACCTGCTTCTGATACCGTAATGCCTGTGTTTAAATATGTGAAGTTTAATGTATTTTCTACTGGAAACAACTAAATTCTTTGTGATTTATTAGTTATGAGGTACATAATACAAATTTCTGAACAGGCTTCTCTCCTCTTTAGAAAACACAGTTTGGGACTTCCAAGGAAGAAATGGCAAATTGAGCAGAGCCAACGACTGTGGCAGAATGAAGAGCTGGTGAGTAGACCAGCTCTTTGTAATTCCTCTCCAGATAAGGAGAGGACTTGAGATCGCCCACAAGTGCTCCAGACAGTTGCTACTTGTGAGGAGACTGCAAGTAAGTAGTCTCTGGCAGGTTTAGAGCTCTGGGAGATGAAGGAATAGCCATCTTTTTGCTCAAACCACAATCAGCACCTTCAAAAAGAACACTGGGTTCCATACTTCCTTTTCTGATCGCTTTCGGAAATTGCTTGTTAACTGTTTTTCAGCTACAGAACCGGATGAGTTTCCTTCAATCCTTAGTGAAAAAAGTTTTAAATACAAGTTTAAGGACTTTTAAAAAAATTATTTTGGAATAAACAGCAAAAGGGTGATTACACATAGTCCTTGCTTAACGACCACAATAGGGACTGGAAAATTAGTTAAGTGGGGCGGTCATTAAGTGAGTCACCACATGACCTGACCCAGTTTTACAACCATTTTTACAATGGTTGTTAAGTGAATCACCATGGTCTTTAAGAAAATCACGTGGTCATTAAGTGAATAACATGGTCATTAAGCAAATCCAGCTTCCCCAATAGATTTTTTTACTGGAATTTGCTTAACAACTACGTCATTCACTTAACGACCATGGTGATTTGCTTAATGACTGTTGTAAAAAAGGACACAAATCACAATCATGTAACCACGGGGGGTGGTGTGACAGTTTGCGATGGTTGTAAGTGCGAGTAGGTTGTATAGCACTTTTTTTCAAAGTCATCGTAATTTCAAACCCTCATTAAACAAATGGTCTTTAAGTGAGGACTACCTGTAGAACTTTGATTTTGGAAAGTTACAAATGGACTAAGGGTCCAGATGGATTTGAAATAAGATTTTGGAATTAATTATAAGAATCCTTCCAGTGGGAAAATGCTTTTGTTTTAAATTCTCTTAAAAAGAACATGATAGTATGAGACTTTAAAGGCTGGACACTAGAGGGAACCAGAAGGAAGAAAACACAGTATGAACTTCACAGAAATATTGATAAAAGTAACAGCTTTTAGCTGTCCTGTGGTTCCAAGAAAATACATGGTTGCTTCTGGAGCCATTTCCAGGAATTAATGAATGGGCAGAAAGAATTATGGTGGGGGTAATAAAAGCACACATTACCATAAATTTATGGAGTGATAATACAACAGATTTCTATGATATCCTTAGAATAGGTCTCCTTAACCCAGTTTTGCCCAACCAAATGTACTGGTCTTCAACTTCCAGAAGTCCCAGCTAGCATGGCTGTTGCATACAAAGATGGTTATGTTGGCTGGAGATGATGGAATTATCACAGATACAGCATCTGATCCTTTCAACAGGGCTTTCCTAACATGGGATTGAATTTTGCTACCTTACTGATGTCTGATGATTTGGGGAAAAGGAATGAGGAAGAACAGTCTCTCAAGAAAAAAAGAGTGATAAAATTAAATTTCATTAAATAGGAGTATGGTGTGCCATTTATTTATTTATCTATCATTCTTCATAAAATTTAATGAAATATCATTTGATTTTTTTAAAAAAAGGAGAAAGAATGTTGGTGTCATTCTCATGGTTGGAATGTGATGCTTTTTCACTTATTCAGTAACAAGGTGGCCAAGTGATACATGAGAATTGCTTGTTTTTCACAGTAAAGTCATCTCTCCAGTAGCTTTCAGCCTATGGTGGTTTCACTTAAATCCGAAGAGAGGACATGATAAGGAACTCCCCTTCTCTTGGGCTTTTTGAATAGTGATGCTTCCACTAAGATGTCCTGCCCTTCACTGGTTGCTGAAAAACTCTTTCCCTGGAGAAAATTCAAGAAATGATCCACCCAGTTTCTTTGGCTAAAAAGTTCAATGGAGAATTTTGAAAAGCCATTTATGCTCGGCATTACATTGCACAACAGAAACATTTATTAAGCATTGGCTGCTGACTTTATCAGCCCAGTACTCATTTCCTAGTGTCTCATACCTTGAAGCTGCAATAATTGATGAGTTTAATCCTCCATAACACGACATTGCCACTGCAATAGGGATGATCCACTTAGCATGGCTAAGAGCTTCATTACCAAATGTCTGCAATAGATAAAAAAGTAGAAGAAAAGGCTCATTCAGCTAGTTTACCTGTGTCAGGGAAATTGACAGCATGGAAATTTAAGTTCCAGCACAAAATTAGACTCGGTGAATTCTGACAATACCAACATCTTGAAAGAGCTTTTGAATTTAGTTATCCACATGGACAACTAGATTTCTAGTGATTAAGTAATAAGAGACAATAAAACCAGAAAAGGATTATCATGATGTGGTAAGGAATTTCTATAAATACAGAAGGATTTTGTAAGCTCCCAAACTTCCTGTGGAGTAGTGAAAAAATTATCATTTACCTTATTTGTTCTACAGCAAGCTTTCCTAACATGGTGCTCTCCTGATGTATTGAAACTACAGGGTCAAGAATTCCCAGCCACATGCAAATAATGCCTTCTCTTCATATTGGCTGGGAATTGTAGTCCAAACTGTATTTGGAGGGAACCAGTTGAAGATGATTTTCTAACAGTTCCATAACATAGCATATATATGTGGTACAGGAAAGAATCATCAACTTACTGTCAGTGAGAATATAGAAGAGAGAAAATCAACAGCACTGGGTACTATGTGCATTGTGTATGTTGCAGAAAATATAATTTGGCTCTACCACGTTCAATAAAAGCTCTCTCTGACTGATAATGTGGCATTCTCACAAGTTACAGTAGGCTAGATGTTCCAATTTAATAGAAAGTTATTTTAAAATGTGATAATTCAGGAAGAGGCAAACTTTTTGAACTGATGGGCAGGTTTACAATTTTGAAATCATACTGTAGGTCAGTGTTTCTCAACCTTGGCAGTTTGAAACTGCTATAGGTATTCTAATGTAATGGGCACCTTCAAAGGTGGGAAAAATGGGGAACCCATTGGGGCCCATGGGGAACAAGGGGCACAAATGAAAAAAAAAAATCAAGCAGTGTCATGCTGGCCTGATGAAAGCTCTGCTCCTTTTGTATGTGCATCATGATCTGCACACGCATGCAAAAGGGGTGGCGCTTGCTTTGTGATGGTGTGACATTACTTTAGTCATCTGGGTCAAAGCATCAGGTCCTTTGAACACTCCTCCCTGCTCTGTTTAGCTTGTCTATAGAAAATAGCTGTCAACATGAGCGTGACTAATCATAAAACATCCATTGACCAAAACACCAACTAGGGGTTGTGCCTATCAGTTCCTCCAACCCTTAGGGATGCTTCCCACCATTCCAGCTTATCTGTTGTTACTGTTTTCCTGGACAGGTGAATAGTCAAACTTCCAAACAAAACACCAATCCTTTTCGAAAGGATACTTGCAGGTCTTATGTGGGACCCAGAAACATCCTTAGGACAACAATGGTAGCAATTAGAATTTTGCTTTGCAACATGCCAGCTGCAAATGTTAATTATTTTGTAAATAAGATGATAACTTTTCATTTAATATCATTGTAATAATGTAATTAAAAAAAAATTGAACCAAGCTTTTGGAACCTAGTGGGAGCCTATTGGCTTTATACTGCCTATTCCTGATATAAAGGAGTTAATGTTACTGTTTCTTTTCTACCAGGATTCCACTTTAGTGTCCAAAGGTCAGACTGACCATGCTGCAATTCAAAAAATATGTTTCTGAATCATCACAGGATTCGAGTATTGGAAGAGAAACAACAATTCATGGGAAAGGAGTCCTATGCCTCCTTCTATTTACGTCCTCTATTTAAGGTCCATGGAACTTACTGCTCTAAGTAAAGTAACCCAATGCTCAAAGTATTCCCAAAGAAGATCATTCGATAGTTTCCAAAACAAATGGGTTGCTCCTTCATAATAATTACTCATTTTAAAACAAAGACCCAATCTTCCTAATGCATTCAGAAAAGAGATTATACTTGCAATGCAATGATAACATTGCTTTGCATTTAACAAATAATCTTACGCGTAGCTGGATTTTTCTTCAGAGTTTCCAAGGTTGGGTTTTTCCCAACCAACTGTGGGAGTAACAGCAGCACATACTACAATAAATTTGGGTTATGTGCATGGATTTTCTGCAGGTCCTTTAAAAACTCAGCCCTACAGCCTTCTTATAATTTATTTTTGCTACTGCTAAAACTGATGTTGAGTATTCAGCAAAGGAATTAGTGATAATTTCAAACAGCTTCCTAATTCCCAGTTCCTTAGTTCTTAACTTTTTGCTCTTTTACATGTTCTGTATAACTTAAATATCTCTACTTTTGTCCATTTATCACTGACAAAAATGTCAAATTCTGTTTCTAAACTCTTAGGCTTCAAAGATCAGAAACTATATGCAAATATATCTCATTTCCACATTTACTTCATTAGCACAGGCAATTTTAGTTCAGAATTATACTCATAATAAATTCCATCTCTTGAAATCAAAGTTTTATTGCTATATCCATAAATTGCCATTTTATAAATCTTAAAACAAGAGTGGGCAGCCAACGAACTGGATGCAGCTCTGAGCACCCAGCACTGCAAGACCTAAAATTCTGCAGCAAAAAGATTGCATTTCAGACCATGATGGTGGTGGTGGTGGTGGTGGTGGTGTGGGGGGCAGGGGGGGTGTCAGCAGGTTTTACATGCAAATAATGGTTTGTTTCCCAGGCGATTTCTGCTTGCATTCTCACCCTTAAACAATTGCAGTATCTCTCCCACCCCAAATGGGCAAAAAAAGATTCATCCATCCAGTTCTAGTGACATTACCAAAGTATCAAATGATCTCACCTTCCAGGAGCTTAGGAGTTTCTGCTACACACCTTGCCTCAGAAATTGCCTCCTATTGTATTAAAGCATCTAAGAAAATGAGCTGATACTAAGCCTGATGTGTATTTCTCTGGCTCAAAAACCTAAAACATTGCTAAGATTTAAAATCAACAAACAGTAAAATGAAGACTAACTGATTTAATCACATGCTGTCTCTACCTAAGATCCTGGATTTTATTGCAGGTCACCGATTCTTGCACTAGGAAATTCTACATGGGAATTTGGAATACATGGGAAGTTCAGTTCAGTGGCACCTGTAAGGCGGTTAAACATATTGGTCTGATGAAAACAATACTGTGGCATTGTACCGCAAGTCCCATTCCTTTTGTACATGCCTCATGACATCACACACACTCCCCAAAGGAATGAAGCTTGTGGTGCAATAGCACAAGACACATTTTGATGAAAGCAGCGAGACACTCTGGACACCTGCATTTGGGCTCTTGAAAGACAAGAAAGGTAAGAAAGGTAAGTAGATATAAAAGTGTATAATGTGTTTATTACTGAGGTCAGCCTTCTTCAACCTGCTGTCCTTCATAGGCACTGAAATTCTGGGGGTTGCAATCCAATACATGTCGATTTCCCCAGATTGAGGAAGGCTGCCCGTCAGATGCACCCAACAATTTATAATGTACAACATACCACAGCCACGGCATCACTTGCTAAAAGAGCAGGCATGTCCAATACGACATAGTAGGCCACATTGGTCAGCAAGTAAATAATAGTCACTATAGGCATTGATATGGCAATGGAAAGTGGAAGGTTTCTGAAGAAAGAAATAAAACAGCAGAGCACATTAAATGCAACTGAATTAAGGATAAATCAAAGGGGGAAATATAAAGCAAGTATTAATACAGCTATTTATATATGCATCTTTCTATTCTACTGAGTTCACTCACAGATATGTAAATAAATTTTTAAAAAAGCACCAGATGCAAAAGAAGGAGGAGGAAGATGTAATTATCCAACACACACATGTACCTTTCTGGGTTTTTCATTTCTTCAGTGACAAAATTCAACGTGTCCCATCCAGAGTAGGAAAAGAGGGCAGAATAAAGAGCAAGTGCAACAAATCCTGCTTTTGTTGTGGAGCCTTCAAATGGTTCCTTGAGGTTTTCCGTTTCTCCTGTGGCAACAACAGAACTTTGAGGTTCTAATTTACATTTAGGCATTTATAGGTAGCTCATTTAAAAGTAGGGCAGAACTGGAATATTCACTGCATGAAAATCATAGTTACATTTTGCCTTCCCCATAACTCAATGCATAATTTGTTATACTGCTTGCATATTCTCTTTACCCTTCTAGGAAGCGAGTCTCTTCATACCAGATGCCTGGCATCAGACGACAAAAGTCACAAAAGATCACAGTTTAGTTTATATGAGCAAAGATACGCCATTTGGAAGTATTTTCTATACGATGACACATTCTTCCACGAATTTTCTTTAGTGGAGTTACTTTGCCCTCATTAAAGAGCAAAAGAGACAGTAAAGATAATGAATGAACTCAGAGCAGCTCTAAGTTATAAAATGTATGTAAAAACCTGCATTTGGATTGCTCAGGATAATTACTGCAATCTAGTAGTTATTTGCTGGCAGTGCATTGGTAAATGTGTATTTGGAAATAAAGATTACCAAGGTTTGGGCACGTTACAAAAAATATGGATTTCAAGAAGAATGGGATGCTGATAGAGACAATGCTTTAAAAACTGGATTATTTTGATGTGTTGCTGGGCTGCAGCCATAGGAATTATCAATATAATTTGTTGCCACAACCACAGATCGGCATACCCAATATCAAGTTATTCAGAGAATTGCAGATATTGGAAATGAGAGTTGTGTATAAACATGATGTGCACAGAGATCCATGACCCTAGAAATTGCTGCAGGTGGATCACAATGTTTTTTTCCCCCTGCATAAGAGGAACAGTTCATGTCAAACGTACACACATTCACGCCACACATCCAAAAGGTAAACTCTGACTTAAAATCTATGGTTGCCTCTATCTACTATTTAGTTTTGTCATATTTATAATAGTAAGTACCTTCTTACCTTGGCTAATTTTATAAAGGCCCACAGCTATGACCATAATAAGAGCCATCACTTTTGCATATGTGAAAAGATCCTGTACTCGGGTTCCCCACTTCACATTGACACAATTAATAAAAGTCAGAGAGCCTAATTAAAAAATAGGATACAAACAAAATAAACTTTGTTAGCTGCATTTCATTAGAATACACAGGCTTTCTGAAATATTTCTTTTAACAGCTGGCTATTTTATTTTTCAAAAGTACAGGTGAATGTATTAAAAGACTACAGGTAGCTCTCATTTAGTGATCATAACTGGAACCAGCAACTCAGTCATTAAGTGAAGCAGTCGCTAAGTGAAACTGTGACTGTGCTTATGATCTTACTTCAGCTTTGCTTTCTTTACAGACCTGCAAAGGTTGTAAATGCAAGAACTGGTCATAAAGTCACTTTTTCATCACCATCATAACTGCAAATAGTCACTAAACAAGGCAGTTGCTAAACAAGGATTACCTATAAAGGTGAGTGCCCCACGCAGACCAAAAGCAAATTTGCAAACAAAATATACATAAGAATGAGACATGTCTCTTTCATATGCCTTCAGTGGGAGGCAGAAACCAAAAGACATTGGAACAGTATAAGCTATTCTTTAAAGAAAATACCGATTTGTAAATGGTTTATCTGATGGACGGTGCTATAATTTCTGAGCATGTCTAACCAGATTTCCCAGTTTTAGGATGGAAAAAACCTGTCAATCAGATCGTAAGTGTAAACAATGAAGAAATGCCTAACTAAATGTAGTCTACTTTTGCCATCAGGCTGATAAAGACAAATTTGTGGGAATTTATTGCCATACTGCACATACTTTCAGGGAAGTAAACCACACTGCATACAGTGCTGCAATTTTCAGTAAACAAGCAAAGGATTGCACAATTTATCTGAATTCTTTCCTTAGATGTTTAACTTACATGGGCTTGGGCAAACCTTTCTTTTCTGATCTTAGTTTCCCATTTTTAATGTAAATGATATTACAGGGGTGTTGAGAAGGTGGAAAGAAGTTCAGTTTCCATGTATCATTTCAGTTATACACTGAATATTTTTAACAATATGAAAACATTCTCCCAAGAATTATGTTTGATACAGCTTCATGCTGCTGATGGTTAATACATACAGTTTTTTACAATGTAATGTATGAAATGGGCCAGAGTAGGAGTTCTAAACATTTTTACAAGCAGTATTATATAAGTATTACTGCTATGCATTTTCTATGCAGAGTGGTACTTCTGCATGGAAAGTCAATGAAACTGTTATAGTTCCCCATGCTGGTAACTTGCAGATACACAGTTCAACTCTCAAAGTTTATAGTGTGGTATTCTGGGAAGCATATTCCAAATAATCTACAAGGCATTAGGGTGGGTAAGATTCTGTTAGGGAAGTAATGTTTGGAACACTCTGAAATTCACTCAAGAGTGCTGACTGATGTAACTTGCTCTTGGCAAAATAATTGTCTTCTATCAGACTATTATAAATAATAAAAAAAATGTGTGCCTTCAAACTCTGGCACCAGTACTAATCATTTTAAGTTTTAGTGAGACCTATGCAGCTTTTGGCTCACCAGGCTAGAAGCAGTCCATGTTGGATAGGGTTTCTCAGGTTCTTCTACTTCTACAATTCCCAATTGCCTTTGTATTCCAGTTTTCTATTCTGTTTGGTTTATCACATTTTATGACATTTGAAATTAGTAATCAGGATCCAAAGAGGCATCCCCAATGAAAACCAAAATCTATTATTTGGCTAAATGTTACCCCAGAAAATGAATAAAACATGATTACATTCTAAAACTATATAATAAATTATTGCATTGACCGAGTAAGATTTTACTTACAGATGCAGGCTGCTGCAATCAACCTAACTGCTCCATAGGGTGGCTCACAAAATGGAAATATTGGCTGAACAATATAATTAGCAAAAGTAATTGCTATGACTGCCTGAGTGGTAGGTTCAATGATCAACAAAGAAGACCATAGTCTGATAAAAGCTATAAATCCTCCAAAAGCTTCTAGAATATAGGCATAGCTTGCTCCTGATTTAATTATGGATGTCCCCAGTTCAGCATAACACAATGCTCCAAACAAGGAGAAGATCCCACCAAGGGCCCAGAGGAAGAGTGCAAGTCCATACGAGCCACTATACTTTAGCACACCCTTGGGCGATACGAATATCCCTGATCCAATCATGTTCCCTACAATTAAAGAAATGCCATTAAGCAAGGTGATTTCTTGTTTCATTTGCATTTTTTCCTTCTTGTTCTCTGCCACTGAGTCCAATTCATGTAACTCATTCTTGGGTATGTTTTTTTTATTGCAACATGTTGTCCAAGGACCCGTCATCTTCAGTTAATCATTACCTGGAAATAAGAAGGAGAAAATGTTTTGTCTGGGAAAAAAGGGAAATGTGGAAAGAAGGAACAGCTGTACTATAACACTATAATTCTGTGGGGGTTGCAGCTGTGGCTCATTTGTGGTGTCTGTAGGCCAGGAGTTTCAAACTTTTTCAGGCCATCAAACCTGTTAGAATCAGCAGCAGCAGCAGCAGGAGCAGCAGCAGCAGCAGTA